GCATGAAGTCATGATTAATAAACAATGAATAATAGGAAAGGATAAGCCATATATTCTGTGATTTGGTTATATTCAGATTAGTAACAGTCGAACTTGTTATAATTTTGTTCTTTCTAGATACTAGGCGGTCCGTAATAAAGTGCCTCATTGGTGGGCGGGAGTTCAAGGAAATGTTGAAGCTCTTTGGAGTCTAGAAATAGGGTTATTAGCTTTTTGAATCTGGTAAACGTATCACAGTTACGGATAGGCATTGGCAGCCTGTTCCGCAATAAACTTTACCGTACTGTAAAGAACTTACAACGCATTTGTTTTTGGTGTTTTACGGTAAGTAGTGTATATGCGTTGTTTCTAAGTCTATAGGCTGGGTCGTGGGTCATAGTCGGGCAGGAGGTTAGAAAAGAGAGCCCATATATCGCTTTGTAGAGAAATATTAAATTGTTCTTTAGCCTACGGTGCCACAAAGGTTCTAAAGATAGATGCTTACATCTGTCTGTGTAATCGATATTCGAGTTACATCCTAGTAGTTGACGTGTGAAACATCTTTGAACATGTTCTACTCTTATCTTGTCTGCGATATTCATATTAGAGAAGACAAAAGAGCAGTATTCAAGGGTGGGTCGTACACATATTTTGTAGAGAGTAAGTTTACCCTCTGTTGTGAAAAAGTTTTTCATTCTAAAACCAATTAGCCGTCTAGATTTAGAAATAATAGAGGAGGCATGTTCAGCAAAGTTTAGGCTTCCTGTGTAATTAATTCCTAAATCATGTACTGATTCGAGTGTTTGAACTATACATTCATTTAAGTGAAGTCGCGGTTTATAGGGATGCTTTCCAAAGTGCATGATCCCGCACTTGTTGAGGTTAAATGGTAATTGCCATTTTTCACTCCATATAGTTAAGTTATTGAGGTCGTTTTGGATCTGGGATACACTTTCGCTTAGTGTTTCAGGCTTATAGCTGTATACTATTTTGAGATCATCAGCATATAAGTACGGTTTCCCAAATTCTATGGTGTTACATATATCGTTTATATACATAAGAAACAAAAGTGTCCCTAATACGCTTCCCTGGATGACTCCACTGGTGATTGGTCTAGGGGACGAGAGACAGTCATTGTACTTTACCATCTGTTTACGTTCTGTTAAGAACGAAGCAAACCATGAGATAAAGACAGCCAGTGTAGCATCAGTCTCTGCATCAGCAGGTTTCAACATACACAGGGGGAAAACCAAGGTCCTCAAATACAACACGGAAAACAGCACTCCAATCACTCTTGATGGCGAAACTCTGGAAGATATAGAATCATTCACATACCTGGGAAGCATCATCAATGAACAAGGAGGTTCAGATGCAGACGTAAAGGCAAGGATTGGCAAAGCAAGGGCCGCATTCCTACAATTGAACAACATATGCAACTCAAAACAACTTTCAACCAATATCAAAGGAACTTAGGAAAAGACGATGGAAATGGATAGGACATACACTACGCAAATCGCCAAACTGCACCACGAGACAAGCCCTAACTTGGAATCCTGAAGGAAAGCGGGCGAGAGGAAGGCCAATGGACACATTACGTCGGGAAATAAAAGCAGATATGGAAAGGATGAATAGCAACTGGAAAGAGCCGGAAAGGATTGCTCAGAACAGGGTTGTATGGAGAGTGTTTGTGGGTGGCCTATGCTCCTTCACGAGAAGTAGCAGGCGTAAGCAAGTAAGTATATATTGATTGTACACACATTTTGACTAATAATTAGGTTGAAATCACATACATAAAATGCTCAGTTTATAACAAATCACATATAGAGCATAGTTGATGTCAATTAAATGCTAGGATATCGTATATTATACGGAATAAAATATCATACGAGAAAAAAAACAAATACTACACTGAATGATCATTGCATTGAATCGGAATGGAAGTAATGTTGAATAAAACTCATAATTAGTAAATCAATCGAATTTGGACTTTTCTCTCCATAAAAGGAGACTTATTTGATTCTGTTATTCACTAACTCCATTTGAGTTGATGATTATATACGAGGATTGGCGAAATGTTCAAGTCGATAACGATAAATGAGTCAGATTAAGGGCCAAGAATGTATCACGCAACCAGTTTGGGGACTCAAATTCAAGCCTTATGAAGAGCACCTCCAACTACTGAAACCTTACTCATTAGAGTATAAGTGTCTTAGGGGTGATCTTCTAATGGCTTACAGTATCCTTAACATTTCTGGACATACCCTTAAACACTTACATAGGTTTAGCTCCAACACAAACCTAAGAGATGAAACCCAGAAACTAGCGAAACAATATAGCAGAACGGACTGTAGACACAACCTCTACTCCTTAAGAGTTGTCAAATGCTGAAATTTGCTGTCGGCTGAGATAGTCCAAGCGACTTCCTTTCAAGAGGAAACTTGACCTATTCTGAAGGACTAAGGATTGTATCTTGCTTTGATTTACATGTTTCTTTTTTCTCTATTATCGTTAATATGCCCAGGTTCCTGTCCGGTAGTATTGGTGATCCACTGCTACTATACACAGAAGCCCATTAAGCGAAAACTTCTTTTATTCCATCCACAACTTTTTGAACCATTTGGACTTTTAATCAAACCATCAACGAATGGAATTCGTTAATTTGAAACGTGATTGAAGCTTAATTTGTTCAAATGGTTCAAATGGTTGTGGACGGAATAGAAGAAGCTTTCGCTTAACAGGCTTCCGTGTCTAGTAGCAGGGGATCACCAAATCCTCTAGGCAGGAACCTAGGTATGTTAGCAATAAAACAGGAAAATAAATTAGTAAATCATAGTGCGATGCTATCCTTAGACCTTAAGAATAGATCAAGTTGCCTCTTAAAGGACTCCTGAGAATTCGCTTGGACCAGTTCAGTCAGCAGCGAATTCCAGCATTTGACAACTCTTAAAGAGAAGTTGTGTCTACAGTCCGTTCTGCTATGTTGTGTCTCCAGTTTTTGGTTGTTACCTCTTGGGTTAGTGTTGGAACTAAGCCTAAGTAGGTGGATGAGAGGACGTCCAGAAGTGTTAAGGATACTGTAAGTCATCAGGTCACCACTAAGACGTCTATACTCTAATGGGTAAAGGTTAAGTGGATGGAGGCGCTCTTCGTAAGGTTTAAATTTGAGTCCTCGAACTGATTCCGTGGCTCGCCGTTGGATACGCTCCAGTGTCCTTATCTTTTTGGAGTGAGGGAGGAATGTTTCCGTACTCTAAATGGGGGCGAATGAAACTGTTGAAGACTATGTGGAAAGTTCTTTCGTCAAACTGACCGAAATTGCGCTTCAGTGTCACCAGTGCAAGGTTTGCTCGGAAGGCATTTTTGTCACAGTTAGCAAAAGACTTTAAATCGTAGGACATTAGGACTCCTAAATCATTTTCGACTTGAGATACTACTAGAGAGGAGTTACCTAAGTTATAACTGCAGTCCGCGACATGTCGCAGATGGACTACTTTACACTTTGAAGTGTTAAAGGTAAGTCCGTTATTGTCTGCCCAACTTTGAAGTAAAGTCAGATCCTCCTGAAGTGCCTGTATGTCGTCCTGGTTGCTTATCTCTCTCCAAAGTTTCACGTCGTCGGCAAAAAGTAATAAGTCTGACGTTACCTGTTGAGGAAGATCATTTATGTAGATCAAGAAGAGAAGAGGTCCTAGTACTGAGCCCTGAGGGACCCCACTTGGACATTCCATAGCCTGAGGTAAAGTGAAATTAACCCTGACCTTAAAATGTAGATTTTTCAGATATGAAGTGAGCCAATCGATTAGAGGTGGTCTGATACCCAATCGTTTGAGCTTATTGATAAGACATGTATGGTTAACCTTATCAAAAGCTTTTGAGAAATCTAGGTAGATGATATCAACCTTCCCCTTGTGATCAGGGATGCTTGTCCATCTGTCCACCGCAGGCAGCAGGTTTATTATACAAGAGTAACCCTTCCTGAAACCATGCTGTTGTGGTGAAAAGAAATGTAAGAACAGTAATAGTCATGCATACCATCACACATCAGGAACTCCATGATTTTTGAAGGTATTGAGAGAAGAGCCAGTGGTTGGCAACTTGAAGTTTCGCCTCGTCGACCTCCTTTGAAAATTGGTGTGATGTGAGCCAGCCTCCAATTTTCCCGTAGGTTGCCTCGACTTAGCGAATGTGAGAACATCTCGCTAAGCGGTGTTGCCAGGATTGAGGCTGCCTCTCCCAGTATGGCAGAATGGACCATGTCCGGGCCAAGGGAAGTGTCTAATCTTAAGTGCTGCAGTTCGTTTGTATTCCACCCAACAGTGCCTTTTACGGCTTAGCAGGCGAAGGGTACGGTTCTTGATTATTGCAGGTGGCTCGCAGCTTTTGGGAACCGTTTGAGGAACTGAATGGTTTGTAGTACGTAAGAGCGTGTGAAGTAAGAAGTCCCAATGACCGTCCACATTGAGCTGGAGGCAAACATCTCAATCTACTTGTTGTAGATAGTCCTGCAGAGCTGATACGTTCAATCGCTTGAAATTCCAGAGCAAGTTGTTGATGGGATATCTTAGCTCAGTTTTGCTGACAAAACTGAAGACTTGATCGCGTGATCGCTTTTTCCCAGGAAAGCCAGGATTGAGAGGTTATCAACTAGGAATTCTTCATTTGTGAATACACAGTCTAAGCGCAATGGTGTCTGACTGTTTCTCCAACGCGTTGCCGACCCCACATTTTCGTATACTCTCAAGTCATCGATGAGGTTGAAGAAGCGAGCTTCAGTTGAGTTGTCGCCTCCAGTATACGTGTGTTCCACGAAGTTGACTCTAGGGAGATTAAAGTCCCCTAGAATCAGGATGTGTGTGAAACCGGGACGAGTAGAGCGGGATAGTCCTTCCAACATACAACTGTCGTACTCGATGTCGGCAGTTGACAGATCAAAAAGGAAGTTGAATCAATTGAAGGGCCTTCACTGATAAGACTAACTCCGATCACTCAACATCAAGCCAAAGCTGAAAGTGAAATTGAATCTCTAACACTTGACCTTGCCTTCGTCCTGCAGCTGCTGTATATGTGGGTATATTTACATTGATACTGTGTAATTTTCATGACAACGCACCGTGGTCCAAATTAAAGTTAGCTGCGCGTTGCCTGCTTGGTTAGTGCATCCCAATCTACCAGTTTGGGGTAAATTTTGGGTTCAAATCTTTTGACAAGGAAATCAGTCTTCAGTAATAAGGATAGGAGGTCTGTCGACCTATATTAATCCTTGCAGTTTGTAATACTGTGGAGGTCCAATCTCTTTTTGAATATATTAACAGACGGTGCTGATATTACGTGTTCCGGTAGGGAATTCCAGTAATTCACTACTCGGTGCGAGAAACGGAACTCCAGACGTAAACGGTTTGATCTCGGTTTTTGAACTTTCTTCGAATGTCCTCTCAAATGATCGGTTCTAGACGGAAGCAAAAGATAAGACATGTTAATACCAAGGTCATCGTTCAGTATACGATAAGCCAATATTAGATCACCCCGTACTCTACGGTAAGATAACGGAAATAAGTTAAGGTGTCTCAGTCTGTCTTCATAAGATAGGCCAGCTAGACCTTGTACCATCTTAGTAGCTCGTCGTTGGACTCTTTCTAGCATATCTGCTTCATATTTGAAACAAGGACTCGCTGCTTGAATCCCGTATTCTAAATGTGGTCGCACATAAATCGGGTATAGTAATCCAAACATTTCATCATCTAAATACTGGAAAGACCTACGAATTGACCATAATACCCTATAGCCTTTTGCAGCAGCCTCACAGTAACTAGTGGTTTTGAGATCATTGCTTAATACAACTCCTAAGTCTTTGTAGTTTCTTGCTTTGGGTAGCACGAATCCACGTATTGTATAGTCATACGGTTCGTCAGAGTTATTTAACTGCATTACTACACTCATTGGGATTTACTTCTAGTGACCATCTGTCTAACCATGCCATCAATCAGCTAAGATCATCCTGTAATACCATTCTATCCAACTTACCATGTATGGGTTTTCAAATCTTTATGTCATCAGCGAAGAGTAGGACGGATGATTTTGCTACAGTTGGCAATTCATTTACATAAAGTAAGAAGAGAAGAGAACCTAGGATTGTACCTTGGGGAATCCCACTTTTTACAGGTACCCACGAGGAGAGAACCACATTTACCCTTACTCTGTGTCTCCTGTCATGGAGAAAGTTACTTATCCAATCGACGACTGTATAATGGATTCCGAAAGGTTCCAGTTTGAATTTAAGATCAGAGTGGGATACCTTATCAAAGGCTTTACTTAGATCTATGAAAATTACATCCACAGGAGCATTCCGATCCTTTGCCGCAGCCCACTCTTCTCGTGCAATGAGAAGATTTGTCAAGCAAGATAGGCCTTTCCGAAAACCATGTTGTGCCCTGGAGAAAAGATTTTGCCCTTCAACATAGTTTATAACAGCTATCCGAATGATTTTCTCCATCAGTTTCACAACTGCACTAGTTAAGCTAACGGGTCTATAGTTACTAACTAAATCCCTACTCCCAGCCTTATACACCGGACTTATTATGGCGTCTTTCCAGTCTCTAGGAAGTCTGGACTGTCTCAGAGACCTGTCGGATAGTATCGCTAATGGTTCAGCAATTTCATCTGATATGGCTTTCATAATCCTAGGATGAATATCATCGGGACCACTAGACTTATCAGGTTTGAGATGCTGAAGTAGCCTTAAAACAGTATCTTTCTCAATGACTACAGGATCCATCAGCGAGCCGTCACGGTCACAATGAATCATTGGTCGTTCGAATTTTATATCCCACCTATGTAAGACCACATTTAGAGTGCTGTATCGAAGCAGCTAGCCCATGTCTGGTACAGGCTACTAACTCACTTGAGCGTGTCCGGCGTGTGGGAACGAAATTAATGAAGGGTCTTTCTAAACTCCCTTACGATGAACGTTCAAAACGCCTAAACCTTTTCCCTTGTCTTATCGTAGGACACGAGGTGACCTTATACTGGCATTTCGTATATTTAATTACGATTTGGGTGGTAATATGTCTTATCTTTTTACTCCCTCCAGCACTAATAATCTCCGAGGTCATAGCAAAAAGGTTTATAAACCGCGATCTAATAAACTTAAAATGGGTCTCGTTTTTCTCATCGAGTAGTCAATGATTGGAACGCCTTATCCGAACAATTAGTATCAGCCTCATCAGTGAATATTTTCAAGGAGAAGCTGGACCTTCACTGGAAGGCAGTGTCGGGATTAACACAGGTTCAACCTACTATCTTTATTACTGAAGACTGAACCTCTGGCTCTCGCAAGAGCCGAGATGTTCCGGATTTTATCTACCACCTGTGTAAGATCACACTTTGGGTACTGTCAGTCAGTCAGTCAGCTACAACGTAGGACCAGGCACATATATACACCGGTCCAGGTTGCCATACCTCATTAACACAGCAAGATGAACACCGGATTCATAGGAGTGGTTAAGTCAAAGGTGGTAATATATAGGAGAAAAATTGCATATAAGGATACAGTACAGGAAGAAAGAATTAGTTCGTAGAAAGAAAGATATGAAATGATTTTAATCTCTTAGTTTAAGGGAAGACAGGGAGTGTATGCACCGACGCCGTTGTGATCGATTCTGAGCCATGTCACCAAGAGTCTCCAACCATTGGTTACGAAAGTCACGCGGACCCCAACTAAGTAGTCTGCATCTACCAACATGGCTCAGACTAGAGGTTAGTGTCTTCAAGCACTGATGCCACGTTTTGGTTTGGCCGCCCCTAATTCTCTTCCAACCATCTCTAACACACGTTAGCATTGCACGACGTGGTAATCGGTGTTCAGGCATACGTAACACGTGGCCCAACCATCTCAGTCGATGAAGATTAACAATCTCATCAGCTGATTTACCATCATTACCTAATACCCTGCGTCTAACCTCACTATTACTTACCCGGTGATCCCAACAGACGCCAGCAATATTTCTAAGGCATCTGTGGTCAAATACTAGTAGCTTACGAGTGCCTTCTACTCTTAAAGGCCATGTTTCGCTGCCGTAAAGTAAAACAGAATGGACTGCCGCCCAGTATACTCGTCCTTTAATTGATAGACAGATATCTCGCCTTCACCATAGGTGACGTAAGTTGGCAAAAGCCAAACGAGCTTTTCGAATCCGTGCTGAGATTTCGTCCGATACCAGCCCATTAGGGCTGATCAGACTTCCAAGATAAGTGAAGTTGTCGACGCGTTCGACCACTTCACTCCCTATCCTTAGTTCAGGTGTTAACGCAGTCCAGTCCTGAAGCAACAACTTGCATTTAGAGGGAGAGAAGCGCATTCCAAACATTCTGGCATTGTTGCTTAGTGCTACTAAAAGACTCTGCATTTTGTCAGCGTCTTCACCAAACAGGACTATATCATCTGCGTATTCTAAGTCGATAAGTGAACCTCCTGGTAGGGGATCAATACCTGAGAATTCAGTCGACGAGAATGTTATTTCCATCAGTAGGTCTATGATGAAGTTAAACAGAAATGGAGAAAGTGGATAGCCTTGACGGACACCACTTAAGGTTGTAAAAGTAGATGACAGTTCGCCATAAGCTCTGACTCGACTAGTAGTGTTCGAGTAAAGAGCCTTCACAAGGTTTATGTACTTCTGTGGTACGCCTTTCAATGACAGACACTGCCACAGAATCTCGCGGTCTACCGAGTCAAATGCTGCTTTTAAGTCAAGAAAGACCACCATTGTCGGACGCCGATAAGTATGCCTGTGTTCTAGAACCTGACGAATGGTGAATATGTGGTAGATGCAGCCACGACCAGGTCTGAAGCCAGCTTGGTTCTCTCGTGTTTGCAGTTCACGAGTCTTAGTTAGGCGTCTGATAATTATCGAAGCTAGTATTTTAGATGTTATATTAGTTAAACTAATCCCTCTGTGGTTGTCACAGGATGATTTTGACCCTTTCTTATATATTGGGACGATAAGTGATTGTGACCAGTTAGATGGGATAACGTCTACCCCCTGAATGCCCTGGTACGGCCGAGAGTGGGGAGGGTCCGCTCTCCCTCTCGAAATACTCTCACACGGCCACGCGTATACAGCCTCTGCCAGGGAAGTCCTACTCATTGCCTTCTCGTGGCGGGGGTGTTGTTTACGAAAATGAGAGGACGAAAAGCGAATGTCCGGCGCTTTAACCGGATTCCAAATCAATGGTGCACATGGGCTCCAGTATCCTGCGGGAACGAATGGCGTATGAACCAATCGTTGGTCACCGGCTACCATGGGACTGCATCTCCTTACGATGCTCCACTGCCTTGTGGGTTAGACCTTTAGGTCAAAGGCTCGGGGAGTGGCCCCCTAAGAGAACCACCTGCTTCGGTTTGGGCACCCGGGCAGTATCACAGCCCACACACAAATGATGAACTCTTTATGGACCGTCTACTGCAACTTTGCACAGACCACAACCTGTTTCTGGCTAGCACTAACTTTCGGCACAGTCATCGCCGATGTGCCACCTGGCGTCCTCCCTCTGCATCTCAAGCCTGGACTCAGATTGATCACATCGCGATCAGCTACCGCTGGCGTGGTTGTGTACAAGACTGCCGCTCCTTTTGGAGTACCTATCTGGACTCTGACCATGCCTTGGTCTGCGCCAATCTTGTCTTACTTTTCAGTGGACAACGAATTGAACGCCATCAACGGATTGATGTTAGCAAGCTGGTTGCAACTTCTGTTGCAAGTAAGTATCGAACCGAGCTAGCCTCTAGGCTAGCTACCACTCCACCGAAAAGTATAGATGAGCATTGGTTGCAATTGCATGACGCCATGAAAATGGCGGGAACAGTCAGTTGTGGGTTTGCGAAACGTCCCGCTTTTAAGCACTGGGTTTCTTCTGGTTCCTTACAACTCATTGAAGCCCGTCGGTCTACTCCGGGTAACCGTGAGTTTGACCATAAACGAAGGATGTTACGTAAGGAAATCGGGCAAAGCTTGCGTAAGGACCGAGAAGCCTGGTGGTCGATGCGTGCTAATGAGCTGGAAGCAGCAGCTGCATCTGGTAACTACCGGAAGCTCTTCCAACTCATCCGAGCCACTGGCAGCAAGAAGTCTGGTGTGAGTGAAACAATCTGCG